AATGGGAATTCTGAGGCATATGGAGAAAGGACGAAAGGGTTCAAGTACAACTGATTGTTTTGGAGCCATTGAAAAAAACCTAAAATATAAAGAACCCAATTTTTTATAATTGTGACCTTCCAATGTTTTTGACTATGCACCCCATCAGCAAAACAGTTTTGGGCATGTGCTCATTTATGTTTACTTACTTACTTATAAAGATTATGCCACAAGCAGAAAAAATATGGTTTCCCAAATGAAGACTTTTAAATCAACATAGAACATGGAGTCAGCCAGTAAAAATCCCTTTAAATAGTTATCATTAAATTCAGTAAAATCTTGCAAATATAAAATTGACTTTAAACAATGAAAACAAACAAGAAAGGAAGAAGGAAAAGAAAAACATCTGAAATTGTCTTCATATGTTGGAAAATATTTTTAAACATCTTGCTAATTGGGATGACCTCATCGTTGGCTAATGTTTCCTCGAACAATATACACTTAGGGAGTAGCTTATTGTTAATAGTAGTTATTATTTAGGACTTTAAATAGTCTCTAAAGTTTGGCACTTTTTGACTTCTCAGATCCAGAGATCCATTCTTTTTTTTTTTTTTTTTTTTTAAATCTCGTAGTTTATATTAGGAGAGATCTGTTCTGCCATTTTCTCATTGCTTACTTGTGTTCACATAACTAGTAGTCTTCAATCTGATGCTTCTTTGAAGGAATCTTTTTATTTATTTATTTATTTTTTAACATTTATTTATTTTTGAGAGACAGAGAGAGACAGAATGGGAGCGGGAGACACAGAATCCGAAGCAGGCTCCAGGCTCTGAGCTGACAGCACAGAGCCCGATGCAGGGCTTGAACTCACGAACCATGAGATCATGACCTAAGGTGAAGTCGGATGCTTAACCCATGGAGCTACCCAGGCATCCCTGAAGGAATCTTTTAAAGCCACTTGGCATTTTGGGGTATCTGGGTGGCTCAGTTGGTGAAGCAACCGACTCTTGATTTTGGCTCAGGTTCTGATCTCACAGTTCCCGAGATGGAGCCCTGCATGAGGCTCCATGCCTTCAGCGCATAGCCTGCTAGGATTCTCTCTCCGCCCCTTCCCTGCTCATTCACTCTCAAACTCTTTCTCTCAAAAAATAAACATTTATTTTTAAAAATATTTCAAAACTTTTTCTTAACATTTATCTTTGAGAATCAGAGAGAGACAGAGCACAAACAGGGGAAGTGCAGAGACCGGGAGACAGAATCTGAAGCAGGCTCCAGGCTCTGAGCTAGCTGTCAGCACAGAGCCCGACACGGGGCTTGAACCCATGAACTGTGAGATCACGACCTGAGCCGAAGTCCAATGCTTAACCAACTGGCCCACCCAGGCATCCCTCAAATAAACAAACATTTAAAAACAAAAAGCCACTTGGCATTTTGGTGAAGGTTAACTTAGTTAAAACCTGGATAACACAAATCTTACCCCAGCACATGCGTGCTTCAGTATGTCACTAGTACTATGCCCACGTGAACCAACCAGTGAAGAGGTTTTCACGTGTGAACTCTCCTCTCTCAGAAGACTTTAGGCCACCTGATACACAATCATTGAAAGCACTTGTGTCTTTACAGCCTGAAAAAGTGAGTTTTAATATGATTTTATATTTTTAAGTACATAGTATTTCTTCTCAAATGCCACAGGATCCTTTTGTACACCCTCTGTGGTGTGCTATCTCATTCTGGAAAGCACTCTTTTAGAGAATGCAACGCCCTCTGTACAACTACATCAATGCGTCACCAGTTAACACTTCTGTTGATTCAGTATACGGAAAAGTAATGGTATATGATATAGGTCCCTGCAGTGACTCCCTGCCTCTCCAACCCCGGACTTTACGGCCCATTCTGGCCACCACTGAACAAGCTTTCTAGAAGGGAAACTTATTTGAAAACACAGACAATAATCCTATGACCAGGAAGCAAAAAATAGAAGCTAGGTAAATAAGGAGATCATGAAAGTGACACAGATATTCCAATTGCTGAGTGGGAAATCAAACTCTAATAGTAGTGCTCCGTTTCAGCATGTTTTTCATGAGCATCATGTCAGGATCATGCCAATCCTGGCTAAATATAGTCAATTTACATAAACATGCAGGCTGTTATATGTCATTCTGCTATCTTTTGTCAAACAAGAGTAATTATAGTATTTTTTTTTTTAATCAGCTGGAGGGGGAGAGAAGGAAACACCGAGAACTTTGGCATAGAATACATTTTCCAACTGAGTAGTAAGGATTATGGCAGGACTTGTTTTTAATACTGAGTTATCCTGGTCCTCTCCGGTTTGATCTTCACAACATATTTATTTTTATTTACTGAAGATGTGTTTTTTCCAATCTATTGAGATTCCCTAGCAAAATATTTTTAAAATAAATAAAATTTAAATCCAAAAACCTAATCTAGTCAAAACTAGATACCTTAAAAGGACACAGTTAAGACTAACACAGATGATGTTTGAAAAAACAAAATTCAGTGGCTTCAGGAGAGATTTAGAGCATAGTTAAATATTTATGAACGAGCCAAAACATCGTCTCTCAGGGAGGAACAAAGCAGAGATACTGGATGAAAAGGTCAATCAGAGGTCTGTTTTTGAGAACATGTTAAAATTGTTTGGATATACTAATTCTCCCAGTAACAAGTTTCAGATTATTAGTAGCTAACAACAGACAAAGCAGGTTTATAAGTTAACGGTAAGAAGTTATAAGTTAACGATAAGAAATCGGAGAACTCTTGTGAAGTATATTTGGAAGTAACATTCATGCAAACTCAAGAACTTGAATATATGTCAGTTGTTTTTATGTATTAAAGCTCTAAAACTAGAACAATGCAAAATTATAGTCAACAAACTAGACTGCTTCAAATTTTTAGAGCAGACTTAAAATTTCAGAGTAGTTGGAAAGCCACTTTTTATAACCTCGACACAAATAAACACTATTTAAAAATTTACTGTTTCCAAAATAGGCAGGAAACAAAGTACTGTATTCTGACAAATAATACAAGGAGACCAATTTACCTTCATCTTAGACTCTAAGGCATAGTTACTTGTAGATGTCATTTAGCCACATCATAAATGTCTGCCTCCAACAGTCAAATTTTCCAAAGAAGCCGAACAACTTTCATGGGTGGGGCAGGAGGCTTGAGAAGGAACAGTGTTCATTTTGGCTTGCTCCAGCCTTGGAAAAAATTATTTAGTACCACACCCTCAACAAAGGCCTAACGCAGCAACTTGTAACGTCAAATCCATCCATTCTGGTCTATTGTGACGGTCCTCTAAGGAACTACAAATAAGGCGAAATTAAAAAGTGAGCTAAGTTCGGCGGCGGCGGGGCTTGGGGAGCCTAAAAGAGAAAGGTAGGAACCATCAGGAAAATGTCCCTAGTTTTCAATCTTCTCTTCGACCTAGAAGAATATCTTACTTATCCACCGATCAGCAGTTTTTTATTCTTTCTGCCTGATCAGCCTTCCATGCCTGCCTTAGTTGTTCACAACCACTTTCTGGAACAGACCATTACTCAGCACGAAGGTGGCCACGAGCACCTTCTATAGCCAAGGGTGGGGGGCAGCGGGGTCTTCGGGGGAGGCGGCGGGACGAGGAATATCAGCACCCAGCGCTAAGGTGACAGCGGTCCTCCCCACGCCCTCCGAGTCCTCCTCTTTCCAGGACCCACACCTGAACGTGGGAACGCTAAAGCACAAGCTGACCTGCGCTGGTCCCCAGGGCGGCCGGGGAGCCCAAGGGCAGGCTCGGGCTAGGAATCCCGCGGCCTCCTCCCAGCCCGCGGGAACCCGACGGTCACCTCCTGGACGCCCCCACCCCGGCGCACGCCCACCTCCCAGCCCCTCTCCCCAACTTCAGCCCTCTGCCCTGCCAGCCCGCTCCGCTGCCCTAGCCCCCCGCGGCCAGCCCGCCTCCTCCCGACCCCCTTACCTTTCCATTCTTGGGGCTGCCGTTAAGGAACAGGGTCACCCGCCTCATCGCGCTGCCCCCACTGGGTCCTGAGTGAGTCGCCACCCTCCCACCTGGCTCTCCTCCCACCTTCTTCTTCTCCCGCCCTACCCCTCCCTCCACCCACTCGGACTCTCCTCCCTTCGCCACCTTCCTTCTATTACGAGACACACTCGCACGCACTCTCGGTCCCACACCCCAGGGTTGGCCGGTCCTCCTTCCCACCCCGCCCCTGGGCTCCTCAGTCAGCCTGGGGCCCTTCCCCCACCTTTCCCAGACTGACGCTAAGCTCCACCAATCAACCGGCAGCGCCTGCCAGAACTCAGCCAATCACCGCCATTCATTGGGTGGGCTCATACTAACCCAGCCCAGGTGGAGGGAGGGAAGAGAGGTTGCAGTCTGGCAGACGGGAAGGGTTATCAGCCAATCAGCTGAACCTGGAGCCGAACGGCGGCTCAAAACATTACTGAGCAGGCGCAAACCCAACACCAGGTAGAGCTCATCTGCATGGGGAGGCGGGGTTTGAAGGAAAGAGGTGGAGCGCTAGCTGGGATCCAGACAAGTAGCGCCACCCCCCACTCCTCAAACCACGGACGAAACGGCTGCCGTCGGGACTGGATGATTGGATAAGGGCCCGCCCGTCCTTCTGCCAGGATTGGTCCAATGATTCCAATGATTCTTTTCGAAGTTTGCAGTATCCAATTGAAAATCGGGGGGCGGAGCTAGGTACTAACTGAAGCGTTCCTCCGCGAAATCCTCACGCAAAGTAGTCCCCGCGGATACAGGTTAGTAGATGGTGTCTCTCGTCGGTGCGTCACCCACGGCTAGTGGCGGCTTCTCTCGAGGTCACGAAGCCACTCTTGGTCCTGGGACGACGAGGAAGAGGCCTGGCAGAGATAGGGGTGCGCGTGGACACGTGCGAACAGCGGCGGCGTAGAGATTCTTAGAGTAACTCCAGTTTCCGGGAGGCGGGGCTAGTGATTTGAATCGGGCGGCGGGCGGCCTCCAGGCCGAAGAGTGGGTAGCGAACGCGGACTTTGGGGTCAGGGTGCGGGCGCCAGCGACAAGGCGGCCCCCGGCGACCTGCTTGGTGGCCGACAGTTGCCCTCTCGAGCGAACCGTCAGCATCTGCACAAAACTCACCTGTGGTGGAGCGTTCCAAATACACCCAGTGGGAGAGCCGAGCTGCGGGAGTGAGAGGTAGGGCATGGAGCCCGGTGCAGCCGCGCTGTTTTGGGGGCGTGCTTTTCAGAAGCGTGTTGTACTTCCCCTTCTCCCGAGGTAGTGGTCCTGAGACCACTCCTGCGACCTGAGCCGCGTCACCCGCGTGCTTTATAAAATGCAGATTTCCTGTAACCCAGCCTGCCTACTTAATTAGAACTTCTGGGAATTTTTTAAGAGGGTACCCAGAGGTTTCAGGTGTTCGCCAAGGTTAAAAAGCCATGGCTTATTGTATGGTGTCTGTTTGTTTCCTCCCCAACAGCAATTTCCTCCTTTTCTCTTTTTAAAAAGGTCTCAAAATATGTTTTTGACATCTACTTTCATGCCTGTGTGGGTTGTATTCAAAGTCAGCTTTGAACGAGGATCTCAATTGAGTCACGTTAATATTGGGGATGGGGTTATTTTTCTTTTTCTCTCTCTCCTTTTAGATGGATACCAACTCAAAAGACAGCGAGCCTCTTGAAACCAAGGAGTCTGCTCTTCATGATGCTGGTATGTAGTGATCTGTTGCCTCCTTGTGAAACGTGAGGTTTCGGTATTTGTTTTCATCATGATATTTAGCCCCCACGATATGTTGTCTCTTTCAGAAAATACCTCTTTACTTCTGGGAAATGGGAGGCTTGTAACTCAGAAGCATGCACCCGAAGTGACTCTTGATGGTTGCACACCAGATACTTTTAAATCACCCTTGGACTTTTCCACAGTAACAGTAGAGCAATTGGGAATTACACCTGAAAGCTTTGTAAAGAACTCTTCCGGTAAGACTCGCGTCATTCTATTGCAGTGCTTTTAAAGTTTAAAAATAGCTTCCGTAAGCCAGTTCATCTTCTCAATGTCATTGCTTTGACTCTGCAAATGTTCGATTAGGAGGATTTCTTGTGAGCATGCACAGTGGATCTAGCATAGCAGAGTATCAGTGTCCTTGGGCATCCCAGCCTGATAATGTTCACAAGTGGGCTCTGCTCAAACTGGAAAAGATGTCTATAAACTACTGGAGGTTTTTTTTGTACTTTAATTTTTTTAATATAATTTATTGTCACATCGGCTAACATACAGTGTGTACAGTGTGCTCTTGGTTTTTGGGGTTAGATTCCCGTGGTTCATTGCTTCCATATAACACCCAGTGCTCATCCCAACAAGTGCCCTCCTCAATGCTCATTACCCACTTTCCTCTCTCCCCGCACCCCCCAGTCAACCTTTAGATTGTTCTCTGTATTTAAGAGTCTTTTATGGTTTGCCTCCCTCCCTCTCTGTTTGTAACTATTTTTTTTCTCCTTCCTTTCCCTCATGGCCTTCTGTTAAGTTTCTCAAGATCCACATATGAGTGAAAACATATGACATCTGTCTTTCTCAAAAATACGGACCAGGGGCGCCTGGGTGGCTCAGTAGGTTAAGCGTCCGACTTCGGCTCAGGTCATGATCTCACGGTTTGTGGGTTTGAGCTCTGCGTCGGGCTCTGAGCTATCTAGCTCAGACAGCTAGCTCAGAACCTGGAGCCTGCTTCAGATTCTGTGTCTCCCTCTCTCTCTGACCCTCCCCTGTTCACGCTGTCTCTCTCTCTCTCAGAAATAAATAAAAAACGTTAAATTTTTTTTTAATGGAACGCTTCACGAATTTGCGTGTAATTTTTGCTTGGGGGCCGTGCTGATCTCTGTATCAATCCAATTTTAGTAAGTGCTGCCGAAGCAAGCCCTGTAAATCACTACTTGACTGACACATGGGATATAAGAATACATATACTCTAACTAGTAATTTTTATGCTCATGCATGGCAAAAATAAGAGAATGTTGAACAATTAGGAAAGATTGGGGTATGCCTGTTTCAAAAGCACAAACAGAAAAGTGACTAGGGCTAATCTTTAAGAAGTAGAAATGAAGTTCACCAGTGAAGTGTAATGTTCCTAGAGATGAATTAAACATGGAAATGGGATCAGATTGGAATGCAGCATTTAGAAATGGAAGGTAACCAAAGACTGGAAAGTCAGGGCACTAAGCTAATCTGTATTCCCTTAACATTATTCATAGATCTTAAAAAAAAAAACTAGATTTATTTTGTGCTCTTCAGTATATGGCCAGAATTCAGAGTCATGTGGACAGGTAGATAGGTATCTCAGAGAAATAAATTATCTTGAAGAACTGGGAATGTGAGAGTACATTTGCCTAAGTGGAGAACTTCCCTTTCAGTTCTTGGGGAGAAGACTGACTAATTCCAGAGAAAGAGAAGTTCTTTGTCCAGAGCGAGCCATTACCCATCCCCGTTGCAGGAAATCGGAAACAAAAATGACAACTGTTAAAATGTGTTCACGTATTCGTTCCAGAGCTGTCTGATCAGTGTTTTCTATGTGTCAAACACTTTCAGAAGCATGGAATAAGTCACTACACAAAACGAAGAGCCCTATTCAGCTGCTCATGTGTGAATAATTTCGTCTGTCATTGTCTATTTAGATTTCAGTAATGTGTTTATCTTGTTCTCTCTTAAGCTTGTATATCACGGGGAATTCAGTACATGATTACTGATGATTGTTTTGTTCCAATTTTAATGAGAATTTTCATTATAGGAAAGTCACCATCCTACCTTAAAAAATCCAGACGACGCTCTACAATTGGTGTTCGGGGCTCCCCTGAAACAAACCATCTTATTCGTTTCATTGCTCAGCAGCGGAATTTAAAGAACACTGAGCGATCTTCTTCGACACAGACTTCTCCTTTTCTGGTATGATGTTCCTCTAAGTTCTGTCGTGAATTCTTCTGGGAACAATGTTTTGCTATGTGACACAGCTTTTGTCCAGTGTTTCTACCTTGTGCATCTCATCTGTCTTGGATTTGGGGAGATAATAATTTCTCTGTGTCTTATAGAGATCGTTCAGTTAGCGTTGATGGCGATGTTGAACATGGCTATATTAAGAATTAGGAAATCCTGGATAGACGTGGTTTTCTAGTGGAGCTATTTTATTTTGCCGATTTTCTTTTCCAGTTAATGTTTTTCTCTATAATGAGGTGAGGCAGTGTTTTTCAGCCTTTTTAATTTAATATTTTTTACTTAAGTGTCTTTTTTTCTTTTTTTTTGACCACTGCATATTGGCACTAGGGGTATGAGCTCCCCCCCGGGAATGTATTGGGGTTAACTCTGTAAAAGGGAGGAATTTATTTTTCTGCTGATGGGGAAGGATGTAGATATTTTTGCAAATTTTTATCAGAATAATATATATTTCTAAACAGTCAAATAATGTATAAGAAGTGCTATGAAAGACACAGCTAAGGCTTACCCTTCTTGAAGGACAACTACGTGCCTCTTTGGGCACTGGCCTTCGTGTTTGAAAATGTGTTTATATTACTTGTTTATTTTTCAGTTTTGGGACACTATGCATGAGGCTATGTAGTGCGGTTGTTCTCAGAGATTATCCTTAGGTCCCTGGGGATCCCTCAGTTCCATCCAAGAGGTCAATGAGGTTAAAACAGTATTTTGTGGTAGCATCGAGGTGCTTGCCTTCCTCCACTAGGTTGATGTTTGCGCTCACAGTGCAGAAGCAATGGTGGGTAAAGCTGATGGCACCAAGTTGTCCTTTTAGTCCATACTGCTAAGCAGTCACAGCAGGTGGTAATGCCAGGTTCCCTTAATATCCGGGATGATGCAGTGAAAACTACAAGTTTATTTTTTTTAATTTTTAAATTTTTGTTTAAAAAATTTTTTTTAACGTTCATTTATTTTTGAGAGGCAGAGAGAGAGAGACAGAGCACAAGCAGGGGAGGGGCAGAGAGGGAGACACAGAATCAAAAGCAGGCTCCAGGCTCCGAGCTGTCAGGACAGAGCCTGACGCGGGGCTCGAACCCACGGACGGTGAGATCATGACCTGAACTGAGGTTGGATACTCACCTGACTGAGCCACCCAGGCACCCCTTTTTAAAATTTTTGATGTTTATTTTTGAGAGAGAGAGAGAAGGAGACTGAGCATGAGCAGGGGAGGAGCAGAGAGCAGACACAGAGAACGCAAAGCAGGCTCTAGGCTCTGAGCTGTCAGCACAGAGCCTGACATGGGGTCTCGAACTCACTAACCATGAGATCATGACCTGAGCCGAAGTCGGATGCTTAACTGACTGAGCCACCCAGGTGCCCTGAAAATGATGTTTTATTACTTCTCCACCCTTGAATATTCTGTGTGATGAAATGGGAAGTATGCATCAAGCACTTCCAAAGTACTTACAGAAGTGTGGTGGATGTTTTGAAAAAACTTGTATATGTAATCACCTGGAGTGGTGAGCCAGACTCTGACTAATTTTTTTTTTATGTTATATCATTTTTACTTGAAAAGAGTGCCTGACTGATATCATGGTTCGACTTGGGAATGTGAACAGCATTTTCTCAAAAATGAATAGCAAACCTGCTACTTCAGGGAAAAACTGAAGCCTTTCATACTCCTGAAAAAACTAGTGTTTTCTGAAGAAAATTAGAATTTTGAACAACATACATTCAGCATCATGAGCTTGAGAACTTCCTAGTGGCTAAACTTTTCTTTTAAGATCAGCAGGGATACTTATGAACGTGATTTTCTGATACGAAAAAATAAGGTGTTAATGTTTCAAAGATCTGCATAACTAAGTGAGCCAGTGTTTTCCTAATGACCAGTGCATGCAAAATATACCCTCAAATTGCAAGAGACTCACAGATTTTAATATAGCAGAATATGAAAATTTCATGACAAATTTCATGATAGGACATTCATATTTGACATAGCAACTAACCTATTGGAAATCTTTGTTGAGTTTTGTGTTGCATTAAAGGAAGAATAGCCACAATTTGGAAAAGTCTGTTAAAATACTCTTATTGATCTTTGATATGCACTTGAACTAAGTCTTTAGTGTTCTCAGTTTTTTGTTTTTTTTTTAAGGTTTATTTATTATTGAGAGACAGAGTATGATCATGGGAGGGGCAGAGAGAGGGGGAGACCTAGAATCTGAAGCAGGCTTCAGGCCCTGAGCTATCAGCACAGAGTCCAACGCGGGGCTCGAACCCACAAACTGTGAGGTCATGACCTGAGCTGAAGCCGGACGCTTAACTGACTGAGCCACCCAGGCACCCTGCCAAGGGTCTCATTTTCAACTTTTGTAGATGTTGCTTATGGTATTTGCTTTCATATTTCTTAATAACAGGCTTTTTTCCCCCTTGCAATTCCTTTTTATTAAATTGAGGTGTAATGTACTAATTTGAATTTTTATGCACAATTGACCCTTACATAAAGGGGACTTTAGAGGCTCTGACCCCAGTGCCATGGAAAATCACAACTCCTAAATAGCCTGCTGTTGACAGCCTACTGATCACACAGTCGATTAACACATATTGTGTATATTACATGCACTGTGTACTATAAACTAGAGAAAAAGATGTTATTAAAAATTAAGAGAAAATACACTTACAGAATTGTACTTATTGAAAAAAAAAACTACATATAAAGTGAATCCTTGCAATATAAACCATGTTGTTCAAGGATCGATTGTGTTCCAGATCGATCACCATAGTAAGTCTGGTTAATGTCCAACGCCATAGTTACAGTTTTTATGTGTGTATGATGAGAACTTAAAATCTACTCTCAGCAACTTTCAAATATACAAAATAGTAATATTAAGTATAGTCACCATGTTCAGCGTTATATCCCCATGACTTACTTATTTTATACCTGGAAGTTTGTGCCTTTTAACTCCCTTCACCCATTTTGCCTACTCCCAAGCAGCCCCTGTCAACGCCAGTCTTTTCTCTGTATCTATGAGCTCCTTTTTTCTTTTCTTTTTAAACTTTTAGATTCCACATGTAAATACAATCATATTGTCTTTCTCTGACTTCTCTTAGCATGATGGCCTCAGGATCCATCTATGTTGTCACATATGACAAGGTTTTTTATTATCTGGCTGAAAAGTATTGTGTACATATACCATATCTTCTTTATCTGTCAGTTCATTGGTAGATATTTAAGTTATTTCCGTAACTTGCCTGTTGTCCATAATGCTGCAGTGAACATGGAGGTGCACATATGACCTCACGTTTGTGTTTTCATTTTCATTGGATAAATCCTCAAAACTGAATTGGTGGGTCATATATATGGCAGTTCTCCTTTTAATTTTTCAAGGAACCTCCATACTGTTTTCCATAGTGGCTGTGACAATTTACATTCCCACCAACAGTGCACAGCGCTCCTTTCACATCCTTGCTAACACTTATTCTTTTTGACAATAGCCATTCTAACAGGTTTGAAGTGACATCTTATTAGGTTTTGATTTACATTTCCCTAATGATTAGTGATATTGAGCATTTTTTCATGTGTCTCTGGACCATCTGAATGTCCCCTTTGGAAAAATGTCTATTCAGATTTTCTCCCCTTTTTAAAATTGCCTGTTTTTTGTTTGTTTTTTTTTTTTTGCTATTCAGTTATATGAGCTCTTTTTATATTTTTCGTATCAGCCTTTTGTCAGATATGTGATTTGCACATATTTTCACTCATTCAGCAGGTTGCGTTTTTGTTTTATGGATGGTTTCCTTTGCTGTGCAGAACATTTTTAGTTTGATATAGAACACTTAACTTATTTTTGCTTTGTTGTCTGTTTTTGGTGTCAAATTAAAAAAATCACTGTCAAGCCTGTTGTCAAGGAGCTTACTTCTAGGGTTTTTGTGGTGTCCAGTCTTTTAAGTCTTTTGTCCACTTTGAGTTAATTTTTATGTTTGGTGTAAGATCATGGTTCCGTTTCATTGTTTTTGCATGTGGCTGTCCAATTTTCCCCGCACTGTTTATTGAAGAGACTATTCTTTCCCCATTGGATATTCTTGGCTCTTTTGTCTTCTGTTAGTTGACCATACATTCATAGGTTTCTGGGCTCTATGTTCTGTTCCATTGATCTACATGTCTGTTTTGATTACTGTCACTTTGTTATATAGTATGAAATTGGACCATGATGCCTCCAGCTCTGTTCTTCTCAAGATTGCTTTGACTGTTCAGGGTCTTTCGTGATTCCATACAAACTTCAGGACTGTTCTATGTCTTGGTAAATGCCACTGGAATGTTGATAGGGATGGCATTGAATCTGTAGAATGCTTCAAGTAGTACGGACATTTTAACAATATAAATTCTTCCAATCCATGGGCATAAAATATCTTCCCATATATTTGTGTCTTCAGTTTCTTTCATCAGTTTCTTACGGTTTTCATTATATGGGTTTTTCACTTCTGTGGTTAAACTTCCTCCTAGTTTAATTCTTTTTGATGCAGTTTCTTAATTTCGGTTTCTGCTAGTTTATTGTTAGTGTATAGAAACACAGTAGATTTTCGTATGTTGTTTCTGTATCTTACAACTTTACTGATATCATTCTAACAGTTTTTTGGTGGACTTTTTAGTTTCCTATATTTAATATGCCTTCTGCACATGGTGACTCTTTTACCCATTTCCCATTTGGATGCCTTTTATTTCTTGCCTAATTGCTACTCCTTAATCTTTCAGTGTTAAGGCATTAACTATTGACCTCCCACTGTGGATGATGGAGAATTAGCCCTCTTTCCTCCTTATAGCTTTTATTGTACATACACATGTGTACTTCCTGTCCTCTACAACTTCCTAATTGTTGGGTTACATAACTATTCAAGAGCTTACGTTACTATGGCCATATCATTCCGAGCTTATTTTTCTTCAGTTATGTTTTCCTCCTTTTCTTTTGGGCCATTATCCATTCGTACAAGCAAATCTTCGTATCTCTCTCTAACTCTCCCTAGACTTCCGTGATACCCCATTTTCTGTGCCTCTTCACCACAGCCAGACTCCCTGAACAGGTGGTCTGTCCTGTCTTGCTCCTCTTCCTTCTGCCCCATCCTCTCTACTACGGCTAGCTGCTCCAATTGGACTTTTGTTTATGCTACTCAATCGAGAAGACTTTTGTCACTGTTGATCATACATGGCCTACACCCTGCCAAGACAAAGATTAGATTTCAGTTTGCATCTTACTTAGCCTTTCCTCAACTTTTGGTATGTTCAACCACTCCCTCCCTGAAATATTTTCCTCACTTGGTTTCTGGGATTCCATACTGACCTAATTTTCTTCCCGTGTCATTGGTCATTCTCTCTGTGTTCAATATGCCGATTCCACCCCTTCTTCCAATTTTCCTCTCAAAAATGCTCGAGTGCCCCAGGACTCTTTTCTGCCCCCTTTTCTTTGCCTTCCTTAGGTAACCTAATTCCTTCCCATGGCTTCAAGCATCAGCTGTAGACTGATGGCTCCAAAATGTCTAGCTTTGGCCCAGAGCTTCCTAGAACTCCAGATCTAGCCTATTCAGCATCCTCATTTAGTTGTTTAATAAGCATTTGAAGTATTACATGGCCACAGCCAAATTCTTCATTTCCACTCCCCACTTCTCTGTCTTAGTGTAAGCTGTCATCATCCAGTTGCTCAGGTCAATTACCTGTCTATCTGTTGTGATTCCTTCTACATCCAGCCCATCGCTACCTTTAGGTTACCCATTAAAGACCCTTCTGTAATCCCTCCTGTCCCACAGCTCCTCTACCGCAACCCTAATGTGATTCCTACCTAGATTACCAAGTGCTGCTTCCTAACTGGTCTCCTTACTTCCCTTTCCCTAATCCATCCACCATGTCTCAGGACAGTTCTGATACATTATCCCAGATCATTCATTCTGCTGCTTAAAACCTTCCATGGCTTTGTGTTATGCCTTGAATTAAACCCAGACCCCTTCTTTGAAGCCTCCTTGATCTGAGCCTTGCCCACCATTAGCCTCAGATCCCCATCTCCTTCCATTTCCTGGGCGTGGTAGTTTTTCTATACTGCATCCTATTTCCTCCATCCCAAGGCCATTGTTCTTGTTCTTCCTCATTATTGGGAAATGCCTTTCTCCCCTAGTATCTTCCCTCCACCAGCACTTTCTCATTGTTTTGGTTTCACCTCAGATACTGCTTCAGATACAGTGCTTCGATTTCAAACGAAAGCATCACTTTTACTTCCTGCATCAGATTCCTCTTTTATCTTCTCAGTAGCACCTCTTGTACCTGAAACTATATTAATATGTTTTCAGAATTTCAGTTTAGAATACAATTTTTCGCCTGTATCTGGATCCCTTGGAACAGTATCTGGTACACAGAAGGAATGTTGCCTGACAAAATTCATAAAAAAATGAAGCAGTGCATTTTGATGTTTCATTTACTTTGTTATTCCCATTCTCCATCAGGAAATTGGGAAAAACGATTCTAACTAGGGAACCTTTCATTTGTTTTTTAGGCAGCATTTCAAAAGGCTTTAAATTCCTAGGACATTAAACCTTCCCCTGTGTTCACATATGAGCATGAGAAAAAAGGCCCTTTGGAGGTAAATTGTATGACTTTGGGATAACCCCTTTATTTTTTCCCTATCTCATAGATAAGAGTTGGTCACCAGGTTTTTATGAGTGTTTTGTGTTGTTTATATCATAAAGGTTTACATCATCAACCATATTTGGATTTAAAATCTTCTGTTATTATGTAACAGTTTGCTTCCTGAATATATTTAACTGGGAATAGAATCAAGTGTGTGAGCAGATTCACCATCAAACATGGCTTCAAGCTTTTAATTGAGTTCCTCCATATGATATCTTAAAGGGAGGTAATTTTTTACTTTACTTTTGTCTATTGGTATAATTTTTAGATTGTTACAAGCTCCAAACTGGTGGAAATAGGTTAGTCTAAATAATAAAGGGTGGGCCTAATTATTTATGGGTAATTAAATACCCATAAATAAAACAGAGAACTTTATAATTTATGGGTAAACAGAACTCTTAAACTGTATGTTACTCGCATTTATCACTTCTGTCGCTGCCAGTGTCAATTTCAGTTGATGGCTCTTTGGCTGAAACCCTGTTAGAGTTTCCAGAAAGCTCCTGTACTTAGACCTTTTGGCTTTGTAGGTTTAGTAAATGGCTGGCTTCCAGCTCTGAGGAAGTAATGTCCCATGAGATCAGGAAAATTTAGCTGGGGCGAGGGTAAGTATGAAGGTGGGTATCTGAGCTACTAAGGATCATCTGTGTCTTGGTCTCCTTGGGGGTGGGTATATGGATGGAAAGAAGCAGTCAGACTAGCTTGGATTGAACCAGATGTGTTGAGACCTTTTGTGTCATGCATTTGATTTTCAAGGTTTCTTTTCCTTTTTAGCAAGTCTGGTAAAATTACAAATTGAGGTTCTTCTGTCCTTTCTTCTTTTCTCCATCTCTAGGAGTCCGTGTTTTCCTGTGTTCTCCAATATAATTGCTTACACTGGCCTTTCAAACCTTTTTGTGCTAAATTTTCTCTTTGCAATTTGGTTTGCTGAGGCTGTCTCAGGTTATGGACTCTCAGTTATAAAGGAGAGGTCTTAACCTCCCCAGAAAGAATCCTTCTAAATGTTTAGCCCTCAAATAATTGGGGTTGTGTTTTTCATGAGTGCCTTTTTAAAGCTCTTCCCCACCTACCCTGGACTTTAGTCATGTGCATGGACTGAGTCTCAGTATTGACCAGCCTGTAACAACATGTCTGTATGTACCACACGGGTGTTCCTCTTTGCTCAGGTTCAAAACCAAGGGAGGAGGAAGCACCATGGTAGCACACGAAATACTCAGAACTGAAAATATATGAGTCGAGGGAGAGAAGAGACTCTGGTACACTAATCCGTTCATTCTGATCTTCAGAAAGTCTTTAGGTATTTAGTTCTGGATCCAGTGGTTATAGGCCTAGAATACAGAAACTGTGTTTGATTTCACCTTCAATACCCTCTTCCATGTCTCTTATTTTGACAGGGCAGTCCTGTACTCTATCGAAATGTTAATTCTTTGAGAGAGCGAATGTCTGCCTTCCAGTCAGCTTTTCACTGCATAAAGGAGAATGAAAACATGATGGGCTGTCCTGAATTCTCAGAGGCAGATGGAGAAGTCAAGACAACAGGCTCAAGTGAGTAGAAAGAATTCAGTTTGGACTTCTGTATTGATGCAGACAAGCCTCTGAGGTATAAAAAAGATAGAGTTCCACAGTGTGAAGGCAATCTTTTCTGAGCAGAGCTTGGTATTTTTAAATGGAGCCTAACATTTAAAATTTGGGAAATTTCACACAAAAATTTAGATTTCTGGTTTGTCTTGAAAAAACTTGCTCTCAGGCATTCCTGAGCCTACATCTCCAAATGGCCACAATTAAGTTTTAAGTGTTAGCATGTCAGAGCCAGTTAGCTCATTTCATCTTTAGAATAAGGCATGTGGCAAATTCAAGCATTCAAACCATGATTTTTAGAGGTTTATTATTAAGTTTGGCAAGCATTCCTATGAATACCAAACTGAACCCCTGATGTTATAAACAGAGATATCTAATCTGACATCTTAATAGCCTGTCGCATTCTTAACCATTACTTTACTACAATTTAGGTTGTAATTCATTTGGTTCCTTTTGTCTGTCTCTTGATTTTCTAATCACAGAGCATTTGAAATACCAGAATTAGACAAAATCTGGGCATCACCATAATCATCATAACCATTCCTCTGGTGCGTTGCATCCTAAGGTTCCAAATGATTTGGTTTTGGTTTGTTTCTTGAACCACCTTCTAGTATATTCCCACACCTCCGCGTGTGCAAGACACGTCCAGTCAGTCTGCATGACCCACTTTGATGCATTCATTTGTATTTGTACTTTGTAACTATACTTTGTAAGCTGTTTTTCACTTGTGACCTGCATTTGAAAATACTTGACAGGCATGATTTGCTGTAGTTCTACAGCTGATTAAATTCACTTTTTGTAGCTAGGAAGAACAGAAGCGCATTGTGTCTGGACTTTTCATAAAATCATACAGACGATTAGTCAAAGCAGAACCAGTCTTAGAACATAACCACATCCTTTAAATGCTCAAATGAAGAGGGTTCATCGTAAACCTTAAAACAGAGTGAGATACTATATCAGAAATGGAAATGTATATTAATGTATTTTAGTACATTTTGAAAGTCTGGAAGAAAATTCTCCTAATGTTTCTTATCCTTTTAGTAGTGATGGTCTCTTGCTTTACAGTTAGATTTCTCTTCTGAATAGAAACGTATCCTTCCCTTTGATCAAGTATTTAGGTTCAAGCATTACGTTTTACTAAAATCATTCTGTACAAAATTTTAAAATAATACTAGGAAAGAAAAATACTGATGGCTGTGATATGTTTTTATTTTGTTTTGTGTATGTAGCCAAAAAGGAAGGTTTTGGGCAGTGTCCACAGTTTGAGTTCGCTGCCGATTTATCTTCCAAACGTCGAAGGATATCCTCTCCAGGCGACTCTGATGGCAACCTCCCTGACGCAGTTCATCTCCAGATGTCCAGTAGAGCCACTTCTCCTCATACGGGCATAGCGTGTGCTGCTGATGCTCCTCTTGCGGATCTCCCTGAGGTACTTCACTTAACCAGAATCACAGGAAAATGAAGCTTTGGTTTTCTGGTGAGGCAGTTTTAAGACTGTCCGAACCCTTTTTCAGTTACCGTCCCTTGTACTTCTGTACTGCAGCTGAGTTTTAAATTGTGCTCTGTGTGTGTATTTCCTACTTACTGAATCCTTTTTATTGTGGGCTTATGGGTTATTGGACAGTTTTGATTAATACGTTGCTTTGGGTTACAAAAAACACTTGATGAAAATCTTAGGCCCTCTGGTCTTCTGCTTGCGAGGCGTGGCTCTGGATACTGGTGGTACCACAGTGAGACAGTCACAGTCTTGCCCTGAGCAGCCTTTTGTCTGCTGGAGGTGGCAGATGTAGGGGCATGTTACTTACAGGTAACTGGCGAATGAGCTGAGGATTATATATGGGCCGTGCAGCTCAGGTCTGGGGGTCTTCCTGCCCCTGACTGGTTTGATACCGGCTAGGAAGCAGGCTGCTCTTTAGCTGTCTGTCCTTTGCTCTGCTCACCTCTTTCAACTAGCCGTATGGATTTTTGTTGCTTAGAGCTACCTAGAGCCTGTTAAGGTTATCAAAAGATGGTAAGCAGTGTGAAATAATACCATGGAAGATCCTTGACCTTCACTCACATTTGAACAGAAGCTAGTTCGCTTCTCACTGGCTTTCCTTGTGTTATACTGTGAGACAGCCAGTCCCCGTATCTTCAGTGAGAGGAGACACCTGATCCCATTAGAGCTGGAACTTTCCCTGCACCTTCTCTGTCATGTAGATTCAGTGCATTTCCTGTTGATCTTATCTGGACCGGCATAATAGATGTCCGATAGTCATTAAAGATTCTTTGGAGTCTAGTAGGTTTCATTTGTACCCTGGAGTCATTTACAATCTCTGCTCCGTCTGCTTTTTCCTAGCTGACATGAAATCGTCATCTGGCAGAACCAGTAGTTTCTCATCAGAACTTTGATTGTTTGAACATACACCACGATTTAGAAATGGTTTCCATCATTTCCATATTAATGGTTTCTACTTGAGTGTGTTTTCTGTCCTAGCCATTGATGGTTTTCCCAGCCTAGCTATTGATATTCTGTTGTTTGATTAATAATTATATAACATTACTTGCTCATTTTGAGAATTTTCTCTTTAAAATCAGTTAATATGGTTTTGTAGACTTCAAACAATAAGGCTACAAAAATGTGTCCTATAAACTAGGGAGGTGAAATTTATTTGGTAGGATATTTAGGGTTCAGAGTGAATACTGTTTTTTAGTTCCATTCCAGTATTTTGTAACAATTAGGTAGATAATGATTGATTGGTTTAACATCAGATTTCCAGATAATCTGTAATGCTTACTCAAATCTTTATACAGATCTCAATACTCCTGTAAGTAATAAGATTTAATATTTCCTTAATTTTTTTCCTCCCAAGAAATCGTTTGAATCTGGTTCAGTACAGTCTGGATATTTGGTTGAAGAGTCTTTTTCACTTTCAGATCTCACAGAGGCTTCAAGTGGTAAGTATTTAATCTTTCCTTAATACATGTGACAATTCACCCATCGAAACTTATTGTTCAGTGGATATTTTATGATTGGGTTACTTATATGCTAAAATTTGGGAAAACTGAAACAGTGCCCTACATCTGAGGAGCTCATGGTCTAGTACAAATGTTTCAGAATTCTTGTTATATGAAAGATAACTTTTTATTTTTCTGAACTGTCACCAATAAGAATTAGTGAAATATTTCCAAGTTGATAGAACTCATCATAAAAAACAGAATCTCTGAACACTTAGTGTATTTTGTAAGACAAAACACTGCACATGTATTTTTTGGTTTTTAAGTTTGTGGGAAGGGACCAACATTCAAAACTGCCCCCAAAGCAGTATGCTTGTATTAAGTGAAAGCTAAGGTACGCTATTAGGTTTACTTTGAGCCTACCTGTGTCTTTATCTTTAATTTTTTTTTTAGTGTTTATTTTTGAGAGACAGAGTGAGCAGGGGAGGAGCAGAGAGAAAGGGAGACACAGAATCTGAAGCAAGCTCCAGGCTCTGAGCTGCCAGCACAGAGCCCGATGTAGGGCTCGAACTCATGAACTCCGAGATCATGACCTGAGCCGAAGCTGGATGCTTAACCAACTAAGCTACTCAGGTGCCCCTAAAGTAAAAACTTGTATATATTTAGTTAGGTCTTGCTTTTTTATTTATTTTGAAAATCCCTTCTTTACCATGGGAGCATTTGGCCCATTAGCTTTTCAAGTCAATATTGATATGGTTTGATTTAAATCTACAGTTTTTCAGGGTGCCTGGGTGATTCAATCGGTTGAGCATCTAACTCTTAGTTTTGGCTTGGATCAAGATCTTGCAGCTTCCTGGGCTGAGCCCCCCATTGGGCTCTGTGCTGGCAGTGTGGAGTTTGTCTCTGCCACTCCCCAACTCGTGCTGTCTCTCTCTCTCAAAATAAAGAAACTTAAAAAAATTTTTTAAGTAAATAAATATTGTTTTTTCATGCATTTTCTGTTCTGGTTTTTGTTCTTCTGTTTCCCTTCTGTATTTCTTGGGTATTTCTGAAATCTTTTTGGAAATCTATTTATTCATTACCTTATATATATTTTTACTTTTTTTTAAATATATTTTTTTAAGTAGCCTCCAGTCCTAACGTGGGGCTTCAACTCACAGCCCCAAGATGAAGAGTTGCATGCTCTACAGAGCCAGCCAGGTGCCCCTATCCATTACCTTTTAAATTCCCCTTGTTGCATTTTTTTTCTGTTAATAGTTACAATTGTAATATACATCATTAACCCTTCACAGTCTATTTAGAGTTATTATTGACAACTTCACATAAAAGACAGTGTGATATGACGATTTATAAGAAATAATATTGGTACAATGGAATACTACTTGGCAATAAGAAAGAATGAAATCCTGCCATTTGCAACAACATGGATGCAACTGGAAGGTATTATGCTGAGTGAAATTAAGTCAGTCAGAGAAAGATATATGTTTTTACTCATATGTGGATCTTGAGGAACTTAAGACCATGGGGGAAGGGAAGGGGAAAAACATTAGTTACAAACAGAAGGAGGGAGGCAAGCCATAAGAGATTCTTAAATACAGAAAACAATCAGGGTGAATGGGAGGGGAGGGGGGAGGAGGGGAAATGGGTGGTGGGCATTGAGGAGGGCACTTGTTGGGATGAGCACTGGGTGTTGTATGTAAGCAATGAACCAGCCAATGAATCTTTATACACTGTATATTAGCCAATGTGATAAATTATATTAAAAAAAAAACAACAAAGACTCTTGCCTGTAGTCCTCAGGCATTCACTTTTGAGTGTCCCCTCTCTGTAAGGAGAGCTTTCCTACTATCTTCCTTTGTAATCTTATATTCTAATAAACTTTTGCCTCCTGCTCAAAAAACAAAACAAAGAAGAAAGAAATACACATTGGTTATCTAAATGAATATTTATTGAATGAATAAATATTTAGATGACCAAACATTCTTCAGATAGATTTGGCCTTCATCCACAGTTCCTAAAAATACTTTAAAACCATAAAGGTGACACTGGTGTCTTACTACTAAGGAAGGTGGCTTTTGGGTCCCACCCAGTGGCCAGAGCTAGTTGCTGGGAGGACCAAGCACGTGATTGGAGCGTTCAGCCCCACCCCCTGACCTGGGAGGAGAGGAGAGGGACTGGAGGTTGAATCAGCCAGTGACTTCATCGGTCATGACCATGTATTGAAATACATGGACCATGTATTGCTCCATAAAAAACGCAAAAAGACAAGGTTCAGGGAGCTTCCGGGTTGCTGAATGTGTGGAGATGCGGGCACCTAGCCCTGTGTTCTCTTCATCTGGCTGGTGATTCGCACCCTTTATCATTTCCTTCAAGAAACTGGTAAACATAAGTGTTTCCCTGAGTTCTGAGCTGCCCTGGCAAATTCAGAGAACGTAAAGGAGTAGGTCCCAAGAGACTCTTGATGGATAGCTGCTGTCAGAAGTGTAGGTCACGATCTGGACCTGTGACTGGCATCTGAAGTCCAAGGAGGAGGTTGTTGGAAGCTCTGGTCTGTAGCAGGTTGGTCAGAGGCACGAGAGACAGCTCAGGACCTATGACTGGCATCTGAAGTGGGGGGTGGGGGGTGGGGCATGCTCCGGTAGAACTGAGCCCTTCACCTCTGGAACCTGATGCTGTCTCTGGATAGTGTCAGAATTGGGTTGAGTTCTTGGACACCCTGCTGGGGTCCGAGAATTGCTTGGTGGTGATCTGTGTGAGAGAATCCTTTCCCCTATGTTAGAATTGGGTCCTGGAACCCGAACAGAGCTGGTATTAGGGGAGAGATTGATTTCCTGTCTGCCCACCCATGTCTTTTATGGTACTTTACACTACAGATATCCTCTATATTACTTTTTTTTAAATATTTATTTTTGAGAGAGAAAGAGACAGAACATGAGGGGAAAGGAGCTGAGAGAGAAAGAGAGGGAGGGAGACACAGAATCGAAAGCAGGCTCCAGGTTCTGATCTGTCAGCACAGAGTCTGACACGGGGCTCGAACTCACAGACTGAGAGGTCATAACCTGAGCTGAAGTCAGATGCTCAACGGACTGAGCCACCCAGGCACCCCTCTTCTATCTTACTTGTATATTCATTTTAAGTCCCACAATATTTTTGCTTTAAACAATCACATATATTGGGAGAAGAATCTTTCGTGGTCACGCTGATAGCTACCATTTCTGATCCTCTTCCATTCCTTCCTGAGGATCTAAGTTTCCCTCTGGCATCATATACCTTGGACCTAGAAAAGAACTTCCTTTAGCATTTCTTGTATGTCTTGTCTGCTCTGACTTAATTCGAATTGGAAGGTGATGGATGCGGTACAGAGTTGTGTTAGATTTGGGGAATGGGGGTAGAAAATACTTTGGGGAGAGCTTGCGGAGGAGAACCCGCATGATACCTCCATGATCTCCTTGCCCTCTGCGCCATGTCTCTTCTACCCGCCTTGCTGGAGGTCCAGCCCATGACTCTGCCTTCCTATGCTGTTCCTGCCTTCCGTATGTCTGTGATGAATCACCAGACATTTGGCCTTGCGTGGGGCCCCAGTGCTGTCTGGCCGTCCCTTCTCTTCCTTAGTCGTAACTTCCCTTTTCACTTAAGCTTCCAATTTGCCTTTCCTTGCTTTTTTGTTTTTTTAAGGCATTTATGATTTGTTTCTTACAAAAAAGAATTCTTCAGCATAAGTGTGTTTTGTGCAGTATTTTTCTTTTATATCAACATACATACATAATTAGATATAATTCAAAATTTAATTGGGCCTCTTGCACTTTTCTTTCTTATATCTGGCAGCCCTCCTCACATATGACAGAGATGAAAGTTCCCTGGTGCCCCTTTGTAGTCTCTTGCTTCTGTCAGCAAGAAGACAAAGGATGCCAGAAGCAAATGGCCTGGGCCACTCGCCACCACACCCTCATGCCTCTCTGAACAAGCAGACCCCTGCTTTGTTTCCTCCTGTTATAGTAGATCCTCTGTGCTCTTATCCAAAGCCAGCCCCGTCAGTGTGGTCCCTTCCCTTTTGAGGACCTGCCTGAGGTGTCCCCTCTTTTCTGGGTTTTTCATTTTCCCCACTGACATGCAACATGCTCTAATATCGCCCATCTATAACTTGCCTTTGTCTCAGGGTTTCCTTTCAGCCAGAACCCCCATTTCCTTGCCTTCCTCTGTAGCAAAGCTCCCTTAAAAAAAATATTTTTAATGGTTATTTATTTTTGAGAGAGACACACACAGAGCCTCAGTGGGGGAGGGGCAGAGAGAGGGAGACACAGAATCTGAAGCAGGATCCAGGCTCCATGCTATCAGCACAGAGCCGGATGCAAAGCTCAAACTCAAGAACCAAGAGATCATGACTTGAGCCAAAGTCGGCGCCTAACCGATGGAACCCCCCAGGCGCCCCGGTGTAGCAGAGCTCCCTTAAGGAGCAGACCGGGCCAGTCTCCTCGCCTCCCATTCTGTCTTGATCCAGCTCCACATGGGCCTTGGTAACCAGCAGCCTCTTCCTTGCTATGGCAGTCATCTCTCTCCGTATACCCTCTCCTTGGCATCCCCGTGTGGCAGGCAGAGCTGACAGTGCCTCCTGTGAGAAGCCATTTCTTCACTGGGCAGCAGGACATCATTCTCTCTTATTTTCCCCTCTTCCTGTCTTTCTGTCTTCCTTATTCCTTCCTTGCCTTCCATCCTGACCTTTAAACATTTGAATGCCCTGGGTTCAGTGCTCTGACTTCTCTCTGCACTCACTCCCTAGGTGATTGTAGGCATTCCCACAACCTTAAATGCTGTCTGTGTGCTGTTGACTTCGAACTGTAAATACCTATCCTTGGTGTCTTCCCTGAACTCTAAACCCACATGCCCAGCTGCCTTTTCAGGTCTCCACAGGATGTCTAATAAGCATCTCAGACTTAACCTACTCAAATGGGTTTTGGCTGTTTCTCCTTCCCAAGACTGCTCATCTGTTTGTTTTTCCATCTCCGTAAACAATACTGACCATTCAGTCAATTGCTTGTGTCAAAAACCTTGACGTTACCTTGACCCCTCCCTTTCAAAAGTTAAACTTGAGCTTCATTAACAAATGCTGTGCTGTTGGCTTTATCTTGACAATATATCAAATGTGTAACTATTTCCCATCTCCTAAGTGAAATCACTGCAGTCCAGGCTCCCACCTTCTCTTGCTTGGATTGTTTGACCTCCTCTTACTTGACTTCCCTGCTGCCATCTTTGTTGACCCCCCTCTTCAAAGTCTTCTACATGGTGGCCAGGGTGTTCCTTTTTAAAATGCTAGCCACACTGTGTCATTCCCCTTCTCAAAATCTTTCATTGACCTCCCACCCACCCAGAATAGTATCCAGTCACACTGGACCCAGTCAGTCCTTAGCCTTGTCTTGGAGCTTCTTAGCTTTCCAATCCTTGCTCGGCTGTTCCAGCCACACTGGCCTTGCTGTTCCCATCGTGCATCAGCTGCGTTCCTATGTCAGACCTTCGCACATAGCTTCATACATGTAATATTCTTCCCTAGACGTGTGCATGGTTCACTGCCTCATTTCACCAAGATGCCTGCTGGGTCCCTGAAACACCTCAAAACAGCAGCTCCCCTCCCACCATATCCTGCTATATCCCCTTAACTTCTACATTGTTGCCTTTAAAGGCACATTTTGCTCCTTATCTTTATACATTTCTTTAATCTTTTCTCTTTATTTGGAGATGACTGTAGAGCCCCTTGCAGTTGTACGAAATAACGTAGAGATCCCGTGTCCCCTCCCTCCCAGGGTTCCCCAGTGGTGACATCTTGGGTAGCAGTAATACACTGCCACAACCAGGGAATCGACACGATACAGTGCGCTGACTTTTCTTCACGTGTCACCAGTTAACTTGTCATGCAGTGATTTACATGTATATTTAGTTCCGTGTAATTTTAACACATGTAGACTTGTGACCACACTGCCTTCAGTCAAGACAGAGAACTATTCCAGCACAGGGACCCCTCACGCTGATTCACAGCTATAGCTTAGTCTCACCTTCTACCCCTCCCAGGTCTTTTATATTGTCTATCTGTTCCCCAAAGTATGGGGGCTTTCTGTGGGGGGTTTTTGTTTTTTGTGTGTATGGTTTTTCTTTTATAGTTTATTTTGAGAGAGAGTACATGCAAGTGGGGGAGGGGCAGAGAAAGAGAGAATCCTAAGCAGCCTCCACACTGTTAGTGTAGAGCCCAAGATGGAGCTCGAACTCACGAACTGTGAGGTCATGACCCAAGCTGAAACCAAGAATCCTGACATTCAATCAACCGACTGAGCCGTCCAGGCTCCAGGAGGGCTTTGTGTGTTTTATTCATTGTCGTATCTCTAGCACCTAGAAAAGAGTGCCTGTCACGTTGTGAGTGCCCAACATGTGTGTTAAGTGGCAGTCATAAGGAAATACTCTCGTGAGAAAATGCTTTGCAAGAGGAAGCTTTGCCTTGTGGGCACACGCAGCCTATAAACGATTTGGTTTGATCATCTTTCTCCTCGCTTCCTATCTTCTCCCTCCCGCCACCCTTGCATGCTGAAATAGCTCTGACTGCCTGGTAGAGTTGGTCCTCTGTCATTGCCCAACTCCGGTTGGTGTTCTGGTGCAAGTCTTGGGTGTTGTAAGTGAAGGCTAAGTCAGTCTCTGTTTCATGGGCACCTTAGATTTGTAGGAGCCCAAACTCCTTGCCCCTCAGTAGTGAGAAAGTTGTGCCCAGTGCCACTTCTCTGTCTTTTTATATTTCCAAATGAAATTCTAGATGTCATTCTGTAAGCAGAATATATTAGGGTTGAATTTCTTTTCTTTTCTTTCTTTCTTTTTTTTTTTTTTTAAACTTCGTGAGAGAGAGAGAGAGAGAGAGAGAGCACAGGGGAGGGGCAGAGAGAGGGGAGCCAGAGAATCCCAAGCAGGCTCCTCACTGTCATCACAGAGCCCTGCAACCCCACATGTCGATCACATGACCGCAAGATCACGGCCTGAGCCGTTGCAGGAGTCAGGCGTTTACCCGACTGAGCCACTCAGGCACCCCTAACGTGGAATTCCGCGTAGCCAGGTATTCTCTCTGCAGAGGCATAGTATTTCTGGTGTAGGATGGCCTGATTCAGATGTCTTCTGCGTCTCTTGTTTACATGTTTACTTTGAAGGCGTCAGGGTTGCTGAGCATGTGGAGGGCAAGGGACCCGGGGTTGCTGTTTCACTTGACAACTTGACAGAAATGAGCACAGATGCAGCTCCTCAAGTCCGGTCACTGGTCACTCCACCCTGCAAGAGGGCTGCTGCGTCCTCCGAGACCATCGTACTTCGTTCCGTGCTAAAGAAACCCTCTGTTAACCCACTTCTAGAAAGCCTGCAGGTAAGTCAAGAGCTGCTTTTCCTAAAGCAAAGGGAATAAAAATTCATTTTCGTTTAAAACAGTACTTGTGAATTGTTGTAGGTCATACTGGTTTAAAAGGAGATCTCTTGCCCTAATGTTTACCCCTTCTTTTCACACTCACAGAATTGTGCAGTTTCTTTCTTTTCTTTTCAAGTTCATTATGGATCGGGGTGCCTGGGTGGCTCAGTCGGTTAAGCGTCTGACTTCGGCTCACGTCATGGTCTCATAGTCTGTGGGTTTGAGTCCCATGTCAGGCTCTGCGCTGACAGCTCAGAGCCTGGAGCCTGCTTCGGCTTATGTGTCTCCCTCTCTCTCTGCCCCATTCCCCACTCACACCCTCTCTCTCTCTCTCTCTCTCTCTCTCTCTCTCTCTCTCAAAAATAAATAAACCTAAAACTCAGTATGGGTTATAACATGTAGAATTTAATATAGGCAGACTCTATAAGAGTTTCACAGTTGTTAATGTGAGTCTGTTAATCATTTCCACCCAAAATATTTGGTCTTAGAAATTGCTTGTTTTACAGGCGTGCATCTTTCTCTAAACTCCACTAGTGTGAGCTAAGAATAGGTTGATGGGAGCTAACTGTCACTTAGTACTTTCCGTGGACAGTTCTGGCATGTGTCATGTACATGCAGCACGCACTAATACTCCAAGAAAGATATTAACCCCATTTTATATAAACTGAGGCTTGAGGGTATTAAGTGAACCCAGAGAAATCTTATGTTAAAATCCATGACAGGCCGTAAACACTATGAGACATTGTAAGGTGGGCTCTGGAGTCCAGGAGCCTGGTTTCAAACCCTGACTCTGAAAGTTAAGAGCTGGACCAATTCTATGTACCTTGGTTTCGTCTCCAAAAGGACAGTGTTACAAACTATCTTTCAGGCTAATTTGAGCAGTAGTAAATGGAATAATAATATGAAATTAGCACCAGTGCCTGGCAAATGAGAACTTTTTCTTTCCCACTTCATAGGCATTTAAATGTATAGCCATGCCTACACACCTCTGTCTTTTTTTTCTTTTTTCTTTTTTTTTTTTTTTAATATTTTTATTTATTTCTAGGAGAGAGAGAGAGACAGACAGCGTGAGCAGGGGAGGGTCAGAGAGAGAGAGAGTCACAGACTGAAACAGGCTCCAGAATCTGAGCTGGCAGTCGGCACAGAGCCTGACGCAGGGCTCGAACCCACGAACTGCGAGATCATGACCTGAGCATAAGTCGGACGCTTAACCGACTAAGCCACCCAGGCACCCCTGTCTTTTCTTTTTTCTTATTTGAAGTTTATTTTTGAGAGATGGAGAGAGCGCACGCACGCGTGCAAGTGGGGGAGGGGGCAGAGAGAGAGAGAGGGAGACAGGAGATGGAGAATGAACTGTGAGATCATGACCTGAGCTGAATGCTTAAATGACTGAGGCACCCAGGCGCCCCACCTACACATCTGTTTCTAAAGCCAAAATAAAGTAGACTACCTTCTATTTACATACATAGTTATGGTCAGTGGTTACTTTTAATGTAACTTTTAAATGTACTTTGAAATGTTTAACAGTTTTTCTGGTTAAAGAGCTGATATGGGTTTCTATATAGCACTGTTTATTCATATCATGTGTATTTATTTTTATCTTCAAAAGGCTTAGCATCTCATGATCCATGTAACTCTTACTTATTATATGACATAGCCAACATCCAGTCCTACCACTAGAATTATATGAAGATTTTTATAATTAATGTTTTTACTAAGCTCTCCAAAGTTTGTAGGTGTATACAGTTTGAATCGTTCGCTAATTTTCATGGTGGTTTTGATTGTAAATAAATCTCAAAAATTCACCAGAATTTCATTTTCTAATTTCACTTACTTCACAACTGTGGGCCTTTTCCCAGTCAGGAGAATGAAGTGGACTTGAGAGACAGCTGCTCAAGGAGGGTTGTTTGGGGCAGGGCATTTGTTTAGAGAAGGTGAGGCCTTTGGAATGGATGCGCTGGAGAAAATGGACGGCTCTAGGGAAGAAGGGCCCGTCAAGGTCTGGGCAGCAGAGGATGTGGAGATGGCTCATGCAGCCTGTGGCCCTGGCCCTCCCCTGCTTCCCGCCAGCAGCCCTGTGTTGAGTTTTGCCTTCTTGGGTGATTCAGGACTCATGCTGTACCTTCCTCACCAACTCTCTAATCTTTTGGGGAAGCAGAGAGGGACAGATATTACCTTCTCTCCTTGTTCCTAACTCAGGAATACAGTCACATGGACAGGAGATTTACACACTTAAAAAGGTCTGTTTCCCATGCTTAAGCACCCTATTATGCCATTTACCTGTTTCCTTATTTTTGTGCAGATCTTACACCTGTAGATAGCCTAATCTGACACCATCCATATAGTACATTATAATTCTAGCCATTCACATTTTTCCTTAACCTTATTTGCCAGATTAAAAATGATGGAATGCATTTAGCCCATATTATAGATTTCTGTTCTTTAACTTTTGCCTAAAATACTATTTACTAAAGTAACATATAGGGAGTCCGGTTTTTATTTGTGGCTCATGTCACTAAGCCAGAACAGTTATGAAAGCAATATAGTATTACCCTTGGCAGAAAAAAGTTCAAAGTGGCCATGCTTAATGACTGTGAGTATGCATTTATACGTGTAAGATTATTCATTGATGTTTATTTTGCTTAGGAACACTGTGACAATCTCTGGGATGACGGGACTCATCCAAGCTTAATCTCAAATCTTGCGAACTGTTGCAAAGAACAAACAACAGGTAAGAAATTCACATTTATTTGGGAAGCCTGGGGATATCATTTTCTTGTAAAAAGCTGATCTAGTATGCGATATTTTCAACGATTTGCTAAGTGCTTCAATGCTTCTGAAATTACCTGGGAATGAAGAGCAGTTGGTTGTAACCTCCTTGGAGAGTCTCAGAATTGGTCTGTTCATTTCATCTGCCCATTTGTGCTTAATGGTAACACTTACAAAGGAAATTGATACTCCAATTTTGTAAACTTCCAGGATACTCATGCAAAATTTACTTTCAAGTCGATTACCGTATTGTAATTAGAAATACTGCTTACCTTTTCCATTTTGAATTTTTTTCTCTGCAAACTGTATTTTCTATTATACAAATAATAGCTGCTAAAAGATTCTAGGACACGTAATTTAGATAAGAAATATAGCCTAACTTTTTTTTTAAATCTACCCATTCATTATCTATAGAAGGTCAAGAAAACTGTAAAGTGCCAGCCTTTCTAAATGTCAGGAAGAGGAAGAGAGTTACTTTTGGAGAGGATCTCAGCCCTGAGGTGTTTGATGAGACTTTGCCGGCAAATACTCCGTTGCGGAAAGGAGGGACACCTGTTCGAAAAAAGGATTTAAGTAGTATCAGTCCCCTGCTCCTCGAGCAGTCACCGGTTCCTGCGCAGTTATCACAGCCAGATTTTGATGACAAGGGGGAGAATCTCGTAAGTGTACAAAGTGCGGCGCAAACTTGTTTACATTTTCATCAGACCTCACCTGTTTTGTGTGAACAGTAATTATGCTTTGAAATCGTGAAATGGACTAAATGATGTGTCATGGTATAAATTAATGCATTTTTGTAGGTGGGTCCCCCCACCCCCATCCTGTGCGTGTCCCAACAAGTGCACAGGTCAGTCCCCATTCTCTTGTACTTGCAGGGCTTTTTGTACGTAGCACGTTTCATGGAGCTGAAATACTGTGGACTGTAAGATGTACCATTGCTTTATGTATTACTGGGAGAGAAGGCTAGACATTAAGCTGTGATACCCGTGAATTGTCAGACGTTCTCAGATTTTAGAGATGGGAAGATGTGAAAGAGCAGCAGTCTTCGAACTGATACACTATAAATATAAAGTTTTTCCTTAAGATGAATTTCAGTAGGTAGAATTACTGGATGAAAGAAGAATGTTTTTCACCTTTTGATACATATTGTTGAGTACCCAGAAAGTGTACCAATTTGGACTCAACCACACTATATATGGTTTTATTTGATCATACTTTGTAAACCCTGGGTATTAATTGTACTTTTTTAAATAGCTTGAAAACTTAGTTTAGTGAGGTTTGAACATTTTTCATATGTTTGTAAGCCATTTGAATTTCTTCTCTAGAAAATTACCTGTTTTTATATTGGGACCATCATTCATTTTCTCCCTTGCCATTACACTTCAGAATAAGAGTATTCCACTTTCAGCCAAGATGGGGTCACAGGGACCTAATTTATGTTTTCATGAGAAACAACTAAAAACAAACACCGCACAAGAAGGGCTTACCTTGGTGGAGCCTGGCAGTCTCCATGAGTTGAGGGGATGGGCGTGGGGGTCTGGGAAAGTGAGGGAGAGGCTAGAGGTCATGTTCAGAGTACTGGAAAGGAGAGAGCTGCACAGAGCTCTGGAGATCTGCAAAGGGTCTCACTTGAGTCCATAGCTGAGCACTGGTCACCGGGAACTTGTAAGTAAACTGGCCTAGGCCAGGGAAAGGACTTCCCAAATGGAACAATCCCTAGAGTTCACAGAGGTGGCAGGAGTAGAGCTCCCACCAACCTGAGTAATTCAGAGCGCATCAGACACTCAGGAGAGTATTGCCTCCCTCTTAGAACAGAATTAGATTGAAAGCCTAGCAGAGCTTAAATGCAAACTTTGAAAGGAGACAACTTTTCTGTAACTAACTTTACTGCGTTGTATAAAAAAGCCGAAGAACAGCAAAACTATCCAGTGTCAAACAACAGTACGTTCAAAATGTATGACGTTCAGTTAAAAACTAATAGATGTTTTAGAAAAGGTGCCCTCATAATGATAAGAAAAACCAATCAATAAATAGTATACCCAGAAATTATACATATGGTAGAATTTATAGACAAAGGCATTGAAAGTATTTTTTAATCCATCTTTCATATGTTCAAAGAGGTGAAGGAAAGATTGAGCTTGTTAAGAACATGAAATATAGGAAAGATCCACCTTGAACTCTGGAAATTATAATCTCAGGGAAGAAAATTAGGTTGAATGAGATTAATAGCATATTAGAGTTGTCAAAAGAAAAGATTACCCAATGTAAAGATATAATAATAGAAATTATTCTCCATGAAAGAATAAAAATGACTGAACAAGAGTGAGCAATTGGTGAGCTGGGACAACTTTAGGTAGCATAATATACATATAATTATAGAGTCCCAACAGAGAGGAGATCAGACAGAACAGAAGAAAAAATATTTGAAACATAATAATAGAAAATTTTCCAATTTGATAAAATGATATACTTGCAGATCCTGAAAGTTCAACAAATTCCCAGCACAGGAAACATGAAATAGTAAGCAAAGACACTTCATTGCTTAGAATCAGTGATATATAGCCTAAAAGGAACTAGAATAAAAAAAAAAAATAATATGAGAGGCAGCAGAACTGTCATTAGAAACTGTGCAAGCCAGAAGACGACACTGCAGCATCTTTTGAAGATGTACTTAATTACTTGGAGCAAAAATTACCCAAACAACAACAACAATAAAAAGTCCGTGTAGAATTCCGTATCAGTTATTATTTCAAAACAGAGGTGAAAGAACAGGCTTTTTCATACATATGGAAGCTGAGAGAATTCATTACTGTAACGGGTTAACATTAGAAGAAATGTTAATGGGAATTCCCTTCATCAGAAAGAGAATGGTTCTAGATGGAAATCTAGCAAAGGAATGAAGAGCATTGAAAACGTGGGCGACTGTAGCAGACTTTATCATTATCATTAATCTCTATAAAAGATTGTTTAAGGCAAGAATAACTGTATTGTTTAGTTTGTAGCCTAGTTAGTAAAATATACAACAAAAGTAACATGTCATAGAGGCTGGGAGGGGTTTTTAACCTGTACACAAAGTGGTGTGAGTTAAAGATGAATGCTGTAACCCTAAACAACAAAACAATAGAAATGTATGGGATGCACCAAGAGGAGGCTTAGAGGGGAATAAGAGACAAATTGTATTTCACCATAAGAGACAAATTGATGATCTCAACTTCCACTTTAAGAAACCAATAAAAGAAAAGCAATTAAAGTGACAGTAAGCAGACGGAATTAATAAAGATAAATGCAGAAATCAATGAAGTAAAAAAAACAAGCAATAGAGAAATATCATTGAAATAAAAAGATTATGCCTTAGAAAAATAACATGAGTAAACTTGTAATCAGACTGTTCAGGGAAAAGGGAAACTACTCCAATTACCAATATAATAAATGAGCAGTAACTATACATTCTAACTGGTATTAGAAGGTTAATACAGATAAAAGGATAATCAGAAAGTATTATGAAAAACTTAATGCCAACACATTCAACAATTTAGATAAACTAGACCTATTTAAAGCACAAACTTCCAAATCTCCCTTGAGAAGAAATCCCTTACCTCATTCTCCCTATATCAACTGAAGAAATTGAAGTTTTAGTCAAAACCTTCCCACACAGGGGCACCTGGGTGGCTCAGTCGGTTAAGTGTCCAACTTCGGCTCAGGCCGTGATCTCATGGTTCATGGGTTCGAGTCCCGCATCAGGCTTGTGCTGACTGCTAGCTCGGAGCCTGGAGCCTGTTTTGGATTCTGTGTCTCCCTCTCTCTTTGACCCTCCTCTGCTCACGCTGTCTCTCTCTCTCTCAGAAATAAATAAAAAAACATTAAAAAAAATAAACAAAACCTTCCCACATAGAAAACTGCATGTCCAGATGACTTTGCTAATGAATTCTACCAAACACTTAAGGAAGGCCTAATTTTGCAGAGACTCTTTCAAATGAATTGAGGAGGTAGAAATAGTTCCCAGTTCATTAATGTCAGCATTAACCTGACACCGTAATCAGACATTATCTTTTTATTTTTTCAGTTTTCAGAATTTTTAGTAACAACTATTTAAAATCCCAACTCCATGAATCAAATGTGTATTCTTCATTAGATGTAAACATCCCATTCTTTTTTCTTTTAAATATTTATTTCATAATGAGACATTTTTAAGAAAACTTTAATACAGTATCCTTGTGAACATAATAAAGATACTACATCATGACCAAGTGAGATTTAACCCAGAGATGCAAAATTACTTTAATATTTGAAAAACAATCTGTAATTCACCACATTAAACTAAGAAAAGCCATATGGTCATTTCTGATTTAAAAAATAATGACAATAAAAAATACCCTCTGAACCAAACTGATAATTAAGGACAAGTTTCTTCAAACTCACAAGTTTTTTTCTATGAGAAACCAACAGCGACCATCATACTGGCAATTGTGTGGGTCTGCATTTATATTGCCATTTTCCCTGAATTTCCCCTGAGGAATATTGAAATGTTAGATTGTATTTATAATAGAATGTCCCATTTATTTTAAAGTTAGGAGTGATTTTAAGTTAACCAAAGAGTAACTTGTCAGTGGATCGTTATGGCCACTTTCACTTAATGTTTTATTTTTCTTTGTTGGACTGTAGTTAATAAACATAATCTCATTAAAGATTGGTAAATATTATAAAATATATGTTTATATCCAATATCTTCGTTTTGTTTTGACTTTTTTTCCTTGATTTCCCATCTTTACGATTTCACCTACGAAAATAAATCCTTATCTTCTTTTGGGAACAATTGTATGTCCGTTAAATTTAAGGATGTCTGATTTCTTCTCTTTCTTTGTTTAGGAAAACATAGAACCTCTTCAGGTATCATTTGCAGTTCTGAGTCCTCTTAATAAGTCTTCAATCTCTGAGACTCTTTCAGGTAGTAACTTTTTTTTTTATCTTACATTCATACAAGTGTCATTTTCACTGTGTGTAAATATGAATTTAAGTTTTTAATTTTATTATAACAATGCATAACAATTTGGTTTCAAAAACCAAATAGTTGGGGTGCATGGGTGGCTCAGTTGGTTAAGCATCTGACTTCGGCTCAGGTCATGATCTCACGGTTTGTGGGTTCAAGCCCCACATCGGGCTGTGTGCTGACAGCTAGCTCAGAGCCTGGAGCCGGTTTCAGATTCTGTATCTCCCTCTGTCTCTGACCCTCCCCTGCTCATGCTGTCTCTCTCTCAGAAATTAAAAAAATAATAATAAAATAAAAAACCAAATAGTATTGAGACACCTGGGTGGCTCAGTTGGTTAAGCATCCAACTTTGGCTCAGGTCATGATCTCACAGTTTGTGAGTTCAAGCCCCGCATTAGGGTCTGTGCTGACAGCTCAGAGCCTGGAGTCTGCTTCGGATTCTGTGTCTCCCTCTCTCTGCCCCTCCCCTATTTATGCTGTCTCTGTCTGCCCAAAAAAAAATAAATACATAAACATTAAAAAAAAAAAAAAAACTAAAAAAGAAAATAGCATAGAAAAGCGTATAAGAAGTCTCTTGCCCATCCAAGTCTCATACCTTTTAATCACTCACACTGAGCTTCTATAAATAGGTAGGGCTATATTTCAAGTCACTGCAGGCAGTGGAGTTGCCATCTCAGGTCTTAACTGTCAATAATAAGTTCCTTTTGTTTGATAGCTGGCACAACTGAATGATCTGGATCATATGGGTCATTTTTCAGTATCCAGAACTGTTAACCAACATTAACTTGGCCTTTTGGGCATAGGCACTTTTCAAAGTCTCTAGCTTTTTTATGATCATGACCAGGCAAACCAGGATTTAGAGGACAGATGTCATGGGAAAAATAGTTAGGATGGGAACCATTATTCATGCCTCCCCTTGATCAAAGGCCTTTAAGTGGCCTCTTACTCGCTAGACAACACAAACTGGGTTCATTGGTATAGAATCCACGGCCTGTAGTGTGAAATTAGAGCTAAACTTGAAGCCATAGTCTGTCATATTCCAAAGCCTGTGCTCGTTAACAGACATTATACTGCCTTTCATTTACATAGTTAAAAGTGATCAAATGAAAAATTACTTGAATTTTATAAATTAAATAAATAATTTTCACGACCATCTTAATGCCCTTTATTGCAATTTCATTATACAACATGTGGCTTTGAATAAACAGACATCAGTGAAAATATGGTATTTACTGTAATATGATTTAATCTGTTATCTTTGGGTGTTATACAGTCTCCGTGGAAAGTGGTGACAGTTTCTGGGTGTTCAGTAAACTTAAAATTTTAAAGAATGTTTTTGAATCTCAAAATGTATTCTTGGTAATTATTTATGCTTAAATATTACATTATGTTAAAAAGCAAAGGTGGGTAAGGGCGCCTGGGTGGCTCAGTCATTTGGGCGTCTGGCTTCGGCTCAGGTCATGATCTCATGGTTTGTGGGTTCAAGCCCCGCATTGGCCTTTGTCCTGACAGCTCAGAGCCTGGAGCCTGTTTCAGATTGTGTGTCTCCCTCTCTCTCTGACTCTCCTCTGCTCATCCTGTCTCTCTCTCAAAAATAAACATTAAAAAAAATTTTTTAAATAAATAAAAGCAAAGGTGGGTATTCATAAGAGTACCCAGTGTATCCAGAAAATTACAGCTCTTACAGCTTTTTGTTTAGCCACTCTAATTTTGCTCGTGTCTTATTCATCAGGCATTGATCCCTTTAGTTCTTCAGATAACCATGAGAAGACAGCCTCCCTTAAAGTTGGTAGAATAACCCGGGCCTCTAACCGAAGAAGTGTAAGTGTTTGTATTTGGCAGTGTTTTTGTTTTTAAATCTTGCTATAGATTTTTTTGCTTTTCTGGTCAAATTGTTATGGGTAAAATCTTGATTTGATTACATTCATTAACAGCTAAAACCTACATAGCATATTACCATGGTAATGCTTTCTTTGTCATTTGATTTTAATTTTATTAGAAGGAAAATACAGTAAAAAAAGATGCTCTCAGAATTTGTGTTAATGTGGAAGGCAATCTGTTTGGAATGTTTCTTTGGGATCCGTGTGGTTTTATTTTACTGAGGTGCACGCAGTGGAGAAGAGTAGCATGTTAATAACAGAGATTATAAAATGGCATAATTATAGCTTTTTACAAAAAGATTTTGTTTTGTTTTTTAACACTGGGTTTTAATGTTTTCTAGTAGGAGCATAACTCCCATTGAATATGTGTCTTTTCCTATTTTATTATATAATTAGAGTTGGATTTTTATTTAAATTCATAAATATATATTACCATTATAGCGCTTTTAGCTAATACTGTTGGGTGATAAAGCCAGAATTCAAATTCAGATCATCTAAATGTATATTTCCCCCCATAACTCAACAGCAGTTAGCTGCTAAATTGTAGATGCTTAATACGTATTTGGTAAATAGATGAATCAACTGATTTTAAACTTTTTTTCTTCCTTACTGGGCAGAGAGCATATTCTTCTTTGGGTCTATGTTTAATAAGATCAGAAATTGGTAATTCCTCTTCTCCCCCATGTGAGTTTTAACTGATTAATGGAATTGTGAATTAAGAGCAACTGGGATATGAAATGATAGAAGCAGTGTGGGAAGGAAAATAAATGTGGAAAACATATATCAGATGCAACTGTTTTATGATTATCCCTACTCTAAATTTTTTTATAGCAGTTGATCACTTTTGCAGAAGAGAATGTTTGCAACTTACTTAACACAGAAGCTCAGCCCTGTAAAGAAAAGAAAATTAATAGGAGGAAATCTCAGGAAAGCAAGCACACGGCAAGAGTACATCCTAAAAAGAGTCAAGTAAGTGTGTGTTTAAGGACATAATAAGAGTAGAAGTGGCACATTTCTTTGTTGTATGGCTAGGAAGGCACAGAAAGAAATTTTTTTTCAGTTAACATTGGACCAATGTTGTAATTACCTGAAGACCGTTTTTGTTTCTTCTTCATTGTGTTATGTTTACATAGCGCCGTAAAACATTGGCACTCAAATGTTAAATTGGTTTTTCCCTTTGAATACGATCCAATCTCAGCGTTTGAGAGGATTCCTCTAATTTCTTAGACAAAGATGAGTGTACCATCTGCCACTTGTTTGACTTTTCTTCTGCCAGTTGCTCGATCTCTTCCCTGTTTTTAAGGAAGTATTTAGAAGCTGGTTCTGTCTTCCTCAGCACTTCAAGGCCCGTGCTGGCTAAGGTGACTTCAACTGTCTCTTCAGGGATAGCGGTCTAGCACTTAACCCTGTAACCAGACCCCTTTCACTCAGGTGATCCGCACCTTCCTCTGCCACTCCCCACAGTTTGCTGGTACCGAAGACGTTCCCACTTGCCATAATACATGCTCTGTGTCCCTTTCCCTGATCCCGGCCACCTGTGCATCCCACGTTCTCATTCCCTTATGTCCCTCGTCCAGTACTTAGGATCTTCTGGCCCCTCTGTGTACCCTCCAGCAGATAGACATCCTGTCATTTCCCATGTTTCCTGTTCACCCCAAACTGGGCAAGCTGTTTCAACAGCTCTTGTCAGTAACCTCAGTTCTCTACCCCTTCCATTCTACTTCACCTCTGGATAAATCTGTTACCCCCTCTGCCATCTAACACTGCTGCTGAAGAGACTCACACAGGTGCTGCTAAGGTAAAGCATAGTTTCAGATATTACTTGAAGTCTGGTGTATCCTTTTCTACCTCTTCACTTGAAGTATTTCTCCAAGGTGTTGAGTAGCTTACTAAGTAAAATCCAGTATAACCTACCACCTCAGCAGCATTTGACATAATCGAGAGCATCCTGTACAGCCTCTGTTAAAGGTTTATTTTCTTTCACCCACCCTTAGTTTGGATTACCTGGAGTTCTACTCTTTGCCTTTCCAAATTGTATATTTTCTTTTTGTAGGCAGCATGGTTGATGCCTCCCAAATCTTTTTGATCTATAAACATGTTTAGCAGCCTACTAGACTTCTTTTCTTAAAAAATTTTTTTTAACGTTTTTAATTTTATTTTCTGAGAGAGAGAGACAGTGTGAGCAGGGGAGGGTCAGAGAGAGAGGGAGACACAATCTGAAACTGTCTCCAGGCTCTGAGCTAGTTGTCAGCACAGAGTCCGACGCAGGGCTCAAACCCACAAACCGTGAGATCATGACCTGAGCTGAAGTTGGACGCTTAACTGACTGAGCCACCCAGGCGCCCCTAGGCTTCTCTTAAACCATCCTATAAGCACCTCTGATATCTACTTTTCTAAAACTAAACTTGCCAATTTTACCCCAACACCCTCCCTCTGCAAAACATTCGGTAAACTTCCATCCTGTTCCATTAAACAAAAACTGGTTTAAACATCTACCAGTCAGCAAAGCTGGAAGAAACAGAAAGTTTTCCTGGGTCAATTCCTCTTTTAGGTCACACTCCATTGAAAGATCCCCTTGCCAAAAAAAATAAACATAAGTTCAAAAATAAGCATATGCATCTTATAGTATTGCATCAGAAATAGATTTGCTTTATACTCTTAAAAAACACTTAAAAGAATGTACACATACTTCTTCACATAAAATCAGCAGTCAGAAAGTTCAAGGAGGGTTGAGCAGTAAAGTTTATTTCAACCCCTACCAGGACCCCCACAGAATTAAAATAATTGGTACAATAAAAAGACTAGACTCAGAATAGCGGTGAGAAGAGGAAGGAAGTGAGGAGGGATATTACCCAATAGATGACACCCTTCAGTAAATCTCTAGAAGACAGAGTGGATGAAGGCGTGTTGACAGAAGAAGGAGGTGGATTTACAGCCCAAAACGTGCTCTGAGGGGGCCAGAGAGCCAATAGGAGCCATCTTGCCCATGGGGGTCCCAGAAGACTCTAGGCCCAGTATTGGCCGGGAAACAGAGTAATGGAGACGGTTTGCACCAGCTGGCACCTCCCCCCTCCCCCCCTCCCTCCATCTTCTTCTGTCTCAGAACAGATGTCATCTAGGTGAAAGGCCTCATTCTGACATTTAGAAAGCCCCACAGTCCTGACAGCCTGCTCTTACCCTAAAGCAAAGCCCAAGGTTGATACTCCCCGTTCTACCCTGCCCCACCCAAGGTTCCTAGTAGAATTTCCCTACAGGAAAGAGACTGAGCTGGAAAGCAGAGGAAACTCAGGCCAATGTATCCAGTCTTTTCTGTGAAATCAAGACAACTGAGTAGAAACAAGAGCACAAAAGACCAATATGTATAAGTTGAAAAACTAACCCCAGAAAGAGATGGTATTCAGGGAATGGAAGGATACTATTAAAAAAGAGAAAAGTTCCGATATACTCAGATTTAAGAAAGTATCTGCATAAAACCAAGAAGGGGATGCTATAAAAAAAGGGCAGAGGAAGAAGTATTCTTTAATATGTAAAATTTAGTCATTGGCTAAAGAATAAAGTTGAGGAATGTCTCCCAGAAGGTAGAGCAAAAGAGAAACAAGTAAGTAAGAAGACACAGAAAGCCGAATCTAGGAGACTACAAAGGTGTCTCGAAAGAATAGGAGAATGGAATGGAAGACATTGTCAAAATAGAAGGAGATTTCACAGAACGGAAAAAAGGGCTATTCAGGTTATAAGAGTCTACTGAATGCCTAGTGCAACTAGTCAGTTGCACTGTCAGTGTGAAATTGTGCAGTAAAGATAACAAAGTGGACTTCTGCCAACAAACAAGAATAGGAGGGGTATCCAGTTTACCAGCAGCCTGACCGATGAAAGATAATTGAACAGGACCTTTAAAGTTTTGAAAGAAACTTGATTTCAGCTCCATACTCTGTACCCCGCCAAATTCAGCTAAGCGTAAGAGAAAAAATAAAGAAATTGAGATCCTCAAGGACTCTGGAAGCTTTTCTTTGGATATGACTGGGGGAGATACTCTAGCAAATCGAGGATTAAGTAAGCGTAAGAGTTCAGAGCACAGCAGGTCTCCTGATACAGAAGAGCAGCGCAAGAGAAATATCTAAACACAGTTGTTTGGCCAGCCTAGAGGAGCAGCCAGTCCAGACTGGAGCAGGAGGAAAGGATGCTCGAGGGAGAAGTCCTCTGGAGAGAAAAACAAAAAGACCTATGATTGAGAAAGTGGAAGGTGTGTTGTATCAGAAGAAAAAGGAAGGTAATTATATACCTATACCATTTCCAATAAAAGTTTTGGAGTAAATACAAAGCAGATGTTAGCATGATTTCAACCAGTAAAGGAGTGTTAAGGAAAAGTATGTTTTCTTTTTTTTTAATGTTTGTTTATTTTTGAGCAAGAGGGAGACAGAGCACCAACAGGGGAGGGGCAGAGAGAGAGGTAGACAGAATCCAAAGCAGGCTTCAGGCTCTGGGCTGTCAGCACAGAACCTGACATGGGGCACAAACTCATGGACCGCGAGATCATGACCTGAGCCATAGTTGGACGCTTAACCCACTGAGCCACTCAGGTGCCCCTTGTTTGTTCTTTATTTTTTTGTTTTTTGTTTTCTTTAAGTTTATTTACTTATTATAAGCCAACTTGACAATAAATTATATTTTTAAAAAAGTATGTTTCCTAGTGCTGAGAATCCTCTACAGGAGGCGCCAGAGGAAAGGAACTTGAGCTTTGTCTTTGCCAGAGCACTGAAAACTGTTTACACAGTCATAATGTAAATGCAGTTTGTTTTCAACTAAGGGCAAAGCTTTAAAAACCGATTGTCCTGCAAAATGTAGCTACTGGCAGAAGGTGAGAACAGTGGGTAAAGAAGATCCAAATGAGGGTGTTAACATTACATTATGGGGGGTGGTTAACACTGAAGGTTCTGGAGCAAACAACCTGGGTTCTAAATTCTGGCTTGACCACTTCCTACTAGTGGAATGGCGGGAAAGATTCTTGATATCTCTATTGGTTTTAAAATAAAGGTAATAATGGTACATAATTTATATGCTTATTGTGTGCATTAAATGAGTTAATATATGTAAAATGCTTAGAACAATGCCTGGCCATAGCAAGCACTATGGCTATTAAAGTCAAATTCAGAACCTTGTTAGGCAAAATTTGGAAATATCATTATGGACTCATGATTTTTTCCTTTAAGAAGATTTCCCAGCTCTGTCAGGGCTTAGAAACAGTGAGCACCTCTGGTACGTAGATTGCCCTTTTCTTTTTTCTTTTCTTTTCTTTTCCTTTCTTTTCTTCTTTCTCTCTTTCTCTCTCTCTCGTTCTCTTTCCCTCCCTCTCCCTCCTCCTTCATTCATTCGTTTGTTCGTTCCTTCCTTGGCAAGGGAAGGGGCAGAGAGAGAGGAATCTTAAGCTGGCTCCATGCCTAGCACAGAGCCAGACTCGGGGAGTGATCCTATGACCCTGAGATCATAACCTAAGCGAAATCAGTAGTCGAAAGCTTAACTGACGGAACCACCCAGGCACCCCTAGATTGGCATTTTTCTTAATGTTTATTCATTTTTGAGAGACAGGACAGAGCACAAGCCGGGGGTGGGGGGTGCAGGCAGAGAGAGAGGGAAATCTGAAGCAGGTTCCAGGCTCCTAACTGTTAGCACAGAGCACGACGCAGGACTTGTACTCACGAACCATGAGACCATGACCTGAGCTAAGGTCAGGTGCTTAACTGACAGCTACCCAGGTGCCCCTCTAGATTGGCATTTCTTTTTTTTTTTTAATGTTTTTTAAATATTTTTTATTTATTTTTGAGAGAGAGAAAGACAGCATGAGCAGGGGAGGGTCAGTGATAGAGGGAGATACAGAATCTGAAACAGAGGCTCCAGGCTCTGGCTGTCAGCACAGAGCCGACGCGGGGCTCAAATCCACGAACCGTGAGATTATGACCTGAGCCGAAGTCGGA